GATGATATAGGACATCGTAGAGAGGGGAAGGAGGGAGAGAGAATGGATGAGAGCGGGAGGAGAAAGAATGCTGTAACAGAGAAAAGGAAAGAGGGAAGAGGAGTAAGATGAAGAGAGGAAGAGATTGAGAGAAAGAGGTGCTGAGTAAGAGTAGGGAAGAGAGGTGGAGATGGGGGAGAGAGGAAGAGAGAGAGATAGAGAGAGAGAGGAGAGAGAGAGAGAGAGAGAGAGAGAGAGAGAGAGAGAGAGAGAGAGAGAGAGAGAGAGAGAGAGAGAGAGAGAGAGGAGTGGGAAAGAGAGATATACAATTAAAAAAACACACGCAAGAGACTATCAGTATACCTGGTCACCAGAGACTGCTGTAAGGTGTTCACATCTATATCTCTGCACTGTTAATTCCTCTTATCATCTTACCGGAGGGAGGGAATTATCAGGGGGAAAGCGCCAAGCCATTACGACGATATAAATGTATATATGCTGGTTAGCATTGTAAATGTGTGGCCACGTCTGTGGTAGAAAAATAATAATAATAATAAAAATGACTATATAGCACTTGGAAGGGGTCAGGATCAGGATTTGGGATGGGATACGGGAAAGGAATGGTGCCCAACCACTTATGGGACGGTCGGGGATTAAACGCCGACCTGCATGAAGCGAGACCGTCGCTCTACCGTCCACCCCAACTGATACATCAATTATAATAATGATGCTAATAATAATCCATTGCAAAATCTTGACTGAGCAAATCCATTGGAGCCATGATGCAGACTCGAACCTGTGCGTTGGGCTCGTGTCGTGGTCTAGTTGGCTGTAGGGTGTGCCAGGGAACACCCAGTACGTAAGTTCGAACCCTCATCACGGCACTTATGGATTGATGCATCACGCTAGTGTTATTACTCTGAATAATAATAAAAATAATTATAATACTAATAATTAATGATAAAATATTATTTTCACCCGTAAAGATATATTGATATACCTCATAAGAGGAGAATTAGGAGATGTATTCAATGTGTTTTTGAGAGTGTGTGAGTGGGCTCGGGGAGGACCTGGTTGTCCTCTTGCTCTTCTTTCCCTCTTCCGTTTGTCATTTCCGCTCCTTTCTTGCAATATTCGCCTCTTTTTTTACCCCTGACATTCCTGTTTTTCTGACTTACCATTTCCTGCTTCTCCATCTCTTTCTGTGTTTTATTAAGAGCAAAAGATGTGCTGTTATTTCTGTGCTTCATTTACTGACATTCTTAGACGTTAATTCCTCTCTGTGATGACGACGCGCCTTAGACAGGTGTTAAAATTACCGTAGTTCAGTTCTGGGGTTTTGCGGGGCTCTAGAACGACGGGTTTTGTGTGGCTCTAGAACGACGGGTTTTGTGTGGCTCTAGAACGCCGGGTTTTGTGTGGCTCTAGAACGCCGGGTTTTGCGGGGCTCTAGAACGCCGGGTTTTGCGGGGCTCTAGAACGCCGGGTTTTGCGGGGCTCTAGAACGCCGGGTTTTGCGGGGCTCTTGAACGCCGGGTTTTGCGGGGCTCTAGAACGCCGGGTTTTGCGGGGCTCTAGAACGACGGGTTTTGTGTGGCTCTAGAACGCCGGGTTTTGCGGGGCTCTAGAACGCCGGGTTTTGTGTGGCTCTAGAACACCGGGTTTTGCGGGGCTCTAGAACGCCGGGTTTTGTGTGGCTCTAGAACGCCGGGTTTTGCGGGGCTCTAGAACGACGGGTTTTGTGTGGCTCTAGAACGCCGGGTTTTGTGTGGCTCTAGAACGCCGGGTTTTGTGTGGCTCGAGAACGCCGGGTTTTGCGGGCTCTTGAACGCCGGGTTTTGCGGGGCTCTAGAACGCCGGGTTTTGCGGGGCTCTAGAACGCCGGGTTTTGTGTGGCTCTAGAACGCCGGGTTTTGCGGGGCTCTTGAACGCCGGTTTTGCGGGGCTCTAGAACGCCGGGTTTTGCGGGGCTCTAGAACGCCGGGTTTTGCGGGGCTCTAGAAACGCCGGGTTTTGCGGGGCTCTAGAACGCCGGGTTTTGCGGGGCTCTAGAACGCCGGGTTTTGCGGGGCTCTAGAACGCCGGGTTTTGCGGGGCTCTAGAACACCGGGTTTTGCGGGGCTCTAGAACGCCGGGTTTTGCGGGGCTCTAGAACGCCGGGTTTTGCGGGGCTCTAGAACGCCGGGTTTTGCGGGGCTCTAGGAGAGGCGCCGACATTGTTTTTATATTGCTTTATCTTCACAAGAAAGTTCGTTCGCTTAAATTGTTTGTTAGGAAGGTCTAAGACCCCGAGACCGGGTCGTAAATGATGCGAGTCTGTGGGATAGGTTGGCTCTCATGCAAGTCACAATAACGTGGCTGAAGTATGTTGACCAGACCACGCACTAGAAGGTGAAGGGACGACGACGGCGTTTCGGTCCGTCCTGGACCATTCTCAAGTCCGAGAGATGGATGGGTGAGTTGTCTTAGAGTGGCTATCTTGAGGTTATCTTGAGATGATTTCGGGGCTTTAGTGTCCCCGCGGCCCGGTCCTCGACCAGGCCTCCACCCCCAGGAAGCAGCCCGTGACAGCTGACTAACACCCAGGTACCTATTTTACTGCTAGGTAACAGGGGCATAGGGTGGAAAAAACTCTGCCTATTGTTCTCGCCGGCGCCCGGGATCGACCCCGGGACGACAGGATTACAAGTCCAGCGTGCTGTCCGCTCGGCCGACCGGCTCCCTTAGTCCGGTTAGTGGAGATATGTTAGCCTTTGACAGGTGACTGTGGGGGAGTAGGAGTTAATTATACGTTTATGAAGTGTTATTGTTAAACGTTTTTAGACACTCGATCCCATGCATCTGAAAATAAAGGTGGTTTCAAATCCACAAGGACCGTGATGAGGGTTCGAACCTCGTCACGGCCCTTAGGGATTTGTTTATTTGATGCATCACGCTATTGTGATTTCTGTGTGTAAAGGAGGTTTCGTTTGACGAACAAATCCACAAGGGCCGTGACGAGGATTCGAACCTCCGTCCGGGAGCATCCGATGATGCTCCCGGTGTTAGTGTGTTTCGTTTGACGTTTCGGTTCGTTTTGGACCATCATACGTCAGGCTGCGAGCAGCCGCGTCCAACAGCCTGGTTGATCAGTCCGGCAACTAGGAGGCCTGGTCGACGACCGGGCCGCGGGGACGCTAAGCCCCGGAAGCACCTCAAGGTAACCTCAAGGTAGCTCGGTCGGGTAACGAATGAGCTCTAAAGATGCATCTTTTTATAGTCTTTAAGACTGAGTTAAGTCTTTTGTTCAGATGCTGTTTTGAGTTAATAAACAGAATGACCCGAGAAGTCTTTTGTCTTCAGATGACTGAGCGGTATGTTATATCTTAGCAAGAGGATTAAGTGGGATACCTTCCTTATTGATAGGTTGATACCTGGTTGATACCTGGTTGATACCTGGTTGATACCTGGTTGATACCTGGTTGATACCTGGTTGATACCTGGTTGATACCTGGTTGATACCTGGTTGATGGGGTTCTGGGAGTTCTTCTACTCCGCAAGCCCGGCCCGAGGCCAGGCTCGACTTGTGAGAGTTTGGTCCACCAGGCTGTTGCTTGGAGCGGCCCGCAGGCCCACATATACCTGGTTGATGGGGTTCTGGGAGTTCTTCTACTCTCCAAGCCCGGCCCGAGGCCAGGCTCGACTTGTGAGAGTTTGGTCCACCAGGCTGTTGCTTGGAGCGGCCCGCAGGCCCACATATACCTGGTTGATGGGGTTCTGGGAGTTCTTCTACTGCCCAAGCCCGGCCCGAGGCCAGGCTCGACTTGTGAGAGTTTGGTCCACCAGGCTGTTGCTTGGAGCGGCTCGCAGGCCCACATACCCACCACAGCCCGGTTGGTCCGGCACTCCTTGGAGGAATAAATCTAGTTTCCTCTTGAAAATGTCCACGGTTGTTCCGGCAATATTTCTATTTGACACCCGGATAGGGTGTCGGACAGCGCTTCGGATTCGTAGTCCTGAGGTTCTGGGTTCGATCCCCGGTGGAGGCGGAGACAAATGGGCAAAATGTTTCTTTTACCCCTGATGCCCCTGTTATCTAGCAGTAAATAGGTACCTGGGAGTTAGACAGCTGCTACGGGCTGCTTCCTGGGGAAGGAGGCCTGGTCTAGGACCGGGCCGCGGGGACACTAACCCCCGAAATCATCTCAAGATAACCGAGATCTCAAGAAGATAGACTGTGATCATCCTCGCCTCGCATGACTGAGAGACACCTTAGCTGAAACAGATATCATTGAGATATCAACAGAGACAACAGATATCATTGAGTGTTATCTTCCCTGCGATTGTTAATTATACGAGATATATCATGCTTGTTTATTATAATAGTTTAGATATCTTTATTTATCGAGATATCTGTATTCTAGGAGATATGTCAGTGGGATATCTGAGATATCATCACTGCCTAACTAGCCTATTTCCTCAGTGTGCACCTCCGTTAAAAATGCAACTGTTTGCTGCCTCACTAGTAACGCACGAACCCAATCAACCCTCCTAACCCATCGAAGCCGATACGTCGTAAAGCGTCAATCTTACCCCGTCTTTCATTTTTTTTACTAATTGGTCGCATTTTGAACAAATCGGCCAATTCCGTATAAAATACGACCTATTAAGTGAGAAGACGGGTGGGTTGTCGAGATAATGATGTTGTTCATTCTTTGTTCACACATATGTTTTTTTTTTTGTGTGTGTAGAACATACATATTGTCTGTTTTTATTTGTTATTCAGAGTTATAGGAAAGTATTTTGGCTTTCCAGAGTTCATATATATATATATATATATATATATATATATATATATATATATATAAACAATTCATTCGGAACACCACAATTACGTCGTTCATCATCATCATTATTATGATCATCATCTAATGATGACACAGGATAACCAGTCATATGTGCGTCTGGCGAACGTGCGCCTGTGTCAAGGGACGCATTCGACGCTCTCTCTGCAAGATGAGGGGGAAGAATTTCATAAGCATTTATCTCCAGCAACCGTCAAGCATCTCTCCAAGATGATGATGCTGCATCTCTCTAGGATGCTGCTGCTGCATCTCTCTAGGATGATGATGCATCTCTCTAGGATGCTGCTGCTGCATCTCTCTAGGATGATGATGCTGCATCTCTCTAGGATGATGCTCCTGCATCTCTCTAGGATGATGATGCATCTCTCTAGGATGATGCTCCTGAATCTCTCTAGGATGATGCTCCTGAATCTCTCTAGGATGATGATGATGCTGTATCTCTCTAGGATGATGATGCATCTCTCCAGGATGATGATGCTGCATCTCTCTAGGATGATGATGCTGTATCTCTCTAGGATGATGATGCTGCATCTCTCCAGGATGATGATGCTGCATCTCTCTAGGATGATGATGCATTTCTCTAGGATGATGATGATGCATTTCTCTAGGATGATGATGCTGCATCTCTCTAGGATGATGATGATCATGGCTACTGAAACTGTTAACAGCTTCGGCCTAATCCTCCCCCCCCCCCTCCATCCATAAAAATTATAGTCTGTTTTCCGTGTGTATATATATATATATATATATATATATATATATATATATATATATATATATATATATATATATATATATATATATATATATATATATATATTTTGATATGTAACTTGGGAGCCAAGTCTTATGTGTTATTGAATGCATTGCAACTTTGCCCGATACGGAGTAACTTGATTGTCTCTTAATAGCTCCCACAAGGTGACTAACTTACCTTGCAACCGCCACACTATGACTCACTGTAATCCCCTTGTCTGCACCTTCACACTATAAGAACATAAGAACAAAGGTAACTGCAGAAAGCCTATTGGCCCATACGAGGCAGCTCCTCGTATGGGCCACAATCGACACAACACAATCGACTTGAGAATGGTCCAGGACGGACCGAAACGTCGTCGTCCCTTCAATTTCTAGTATGTGGTCTGGTCAACGAGGCAGCTCCTGTCTATAACCACCCAATCCCACTCATATTTTCGGTAACAGGGTTGTTGATTTGTGTGGAACCAATTACCGCGTAACGTGGTGGAGGTGGGGTCCCTCGATTGTTTCAAGCGCGGGTTGGACAAGTATATGAGTGGAATTGGGTGGTTATAGATAGGAGCTGCCTCGTATGGGCCAATAGGCCTTCTGCAGTTGCCTTTGTTCTTATGTTCTTATATACACTATGACTCACTGTAATCACCTTGTCTGTACCACCACACTGTGACTCACTTCAAATACGATTGGCATAGAATCGTCTATCACGTCTGAAATTTCACTTCGTATTGAATTTCATACGATGTATATATACATTTATAATTTTACACAACCAATGTACCTGGTTTGCATTATAATATTTGTGAGTAATACATATAAATTGGTTGAATTTATATGATTTTTTGTAATTCGCATTTGATTATCATAGATAATTTTTTTTGGAATTTCTTCAACTTTTGTTTTTTTCTGCCCTCAAAATACTTTTGCAACAAAGACATGATAGATATAAATGTATATACGTATTGTTAAATTTTCTCTCTTGTGGGAAAGCCCAAAAGGGCCTTAGCGAACGTAAATCTTCGCTCAAGAAATCGAAAAACCAATGACACAAAGAGGAAAATAGTTTCTGGCATGAAAGTTGGAATAGCAGTAAAAGGGAATGAGTTACCTGGAAGTTGGAATTGAAAGAAAGAAATGAGATCCGTTATTTTGTTAAAACTGGAGTGGACGACCAGGAACCCTTATGCTGGAGTGGTTATAACAAGACTTAGTTATAAAAAGACTTAGTTATAACAAGAATTAGTTATAACAAGAATTGGTTATAACAAGAATTGGTTATAAATAGACTTAGTTATAACCATAACTATACTTAGTTATAAGAAGAATTAGTTATAACAAGACTTGGTCATAACAAGAATTGGTTATAAATAGACTTAGTTATAACCATGACTATACTTAGTTATAAGAAGAATTAGTTATAACAAGAATTAGTTATAAGAAGACTTAGTTATCACAAAACTTAGTTATAACAAGAATTGGTTATAAGAAGACTTAGTTATAACAAGACTTGGTCATAACAAGACTTAGTTATAACAAGAATTAGTTATAACAAGAATTAGTGGAATTAGATAATTCCACCTCTCACATAACCTAACTCATCCTCACCATTCAGCACCCACCTGCTGCCACTGGCACTCGAACCACGACCCGTCAAGAGACGAGTGCCAAGTGGGCAGGATGACACAGTGAGTAAAAATGGGAATAACTCCGGGTTGTATTGCGTGAGCTTTTCCGTGTTGCGGACCCGTGACACCCTCAGGAATTTCATCAGTGGTCTCGATTTTGCATTTTTATTTCAAGTGCTTTTGCGTTATATTATTCTCCTAGGAGGATGGAGCATAGAGGGGGTGGTGAAGGGATGGGGGAGGTGGGAAGGAGAGAGAGAGAGAGAGGGAGATGAAGGAAGGGAAGAAGAGGGGAATGAATAAAACAGAGAGAAGGGAAGCATTGTATGAGAGATGAGCAAGAGGGAAGAGGTCTCTCCTGACACCTCAGATGTAACCCTCCATCTTTCTAGTACTTCCCTCTACCAGCATCCCTCCTTCTCTCTAGTATTTCCACAACGATTTACTACTTTTCACCAGCATCTTCCTCCTCCTATGAATGTGTAAAGAAGGCATTTGTTATACCCACTGTCTTCCTTATAGTCAAAGGATAAGGGACAGACTAAGTGTGTTACATTCTCTAGAGATGAGTTCTGTGGCTTAGCCTCTCTCCTCCGGCGTAAGTTTCCAGGCTGGGAAGTGGATCCGAGATTGTAAACGTTGCTCGACTTTCAGATGAATAATTGTGTTTAGATTGGCGCCAGTGACTTCACAGCTACGGCGCCAGTGACCTCACAGCTACGGCGCCAGTGACCTCACAGCTACGGCGCATGTGACCTCACACAGCTACGGCGCCAGTGATCTCACAGCTACGGCGCCAGTGACCTCACACAGCTACGGCGCCAGTGACCTCACAGCTACGGCGCCAGTGACTTCACAGCTACGGCGCCAGTGACCTTACACAGCTACGGCGCCAGTGATCTCACAGCTACGGCGCCAATGACCTCACAGCTACGGCGCCAGTGACCTCACACAGCTACGGCGCCAGTGATCTCACAGCTACGGCGCCAGTGACCTCACACAGCTACGGCGCCAGTGATCTCACAGCTACGGCGCCAGTGACCTCACAGCTACGGCGCCAGTGATCTCACAGCTTCGGCGCCAGTGACCTCACAGCTACGGCGCCAGTGACCTCACAGCTACGGCGCCAGTGACCTCACAGCTACGGCGCCAGTGACCTCACAGGTACGGCGCCAGTGACTTCACAGCTACGGCGCCAGTGACCTCACAGCTACGGCGCCAGTGACCTCACAGTCACGGCGCCAGTGATCTCACAGCTACGGCGCCAGTGACTTCACAGCTACGGCGCCAGTGACCTCACACAGCTACGGCGCCAGTGATCTCACAGCTACGGCGCCAGTGACCTCACAGCTACGGCGCCAGTGACCTCACAGTTACGGCGCCAGTGACCTCACAGTCACGGCGCCAGTGACCTCACAGCTACGGCGCCAGTGATCTCACAGCTACGGCGCCAGTGATCTCACAGTTACGGCGCCAGTGACTTCACAGCTACGGCGCCAGTGATCTCACAGCTACGGCGCCAGTGATCTCACAGCTACGGCGCCAGTGACTTCACAGGTACGGCGCCAGTGACCTCAGAGCTACGGCGCCAGTGACCTCACAGCAACGGCACCAGTGACTTCACAGCTACGGCGCCAGTGACCTCACAGCTACGGCGCCAGTGACCTCACAGCTACGGCGCCAGTGACCTCACAGCTACGGCGCCAGTGATCTCACACAGCTACGGCGCCAGTGACTTCACAGCTACGGTGCCAGTGACCTCACAGCTACGGCGCCAGTGACCTCACAGCTACGGTGCCAGTGACCTCACAGCTACGGCGCCAGTGACCTCACAGCCACGGCGCCAGTGACCGACAGCTACGGCGCCAGTGACCTAACACAGCTACGGCGCCAGTGACCTCACAGCTACGGCGCCAGTGACCTCACAGCTACGGCGCCAATGACCTCACAGCTACGGCGCCAGTGACCTCACAGCTACGGCGCCAGTGACCTAACAGCTACGGCGCCAGTGACCTCACAGCTACGGCGCCAGTGACCTAACAGCTACGGCGCCAGACAGAATTTCAGACTCTGAAATCCTGTCAGACAGATGATCTGAAATCATCTTTTTCCAAGTGTCTCTTTATATCTTAATAACACTTGAAGATTTGCAAGTTGTAAACACACTCTCATTTCTGAGTTGATAGGCTGTTTTCGTCCTTAGGCCTAGGTTAATGAGCATAACGTGTTGTTATAGGCTGAAAAATACATATATATATCTTTCTGCAGACACTAAATGATAACTCAATGACTTGATCTTTGCCTAAGTCACCTTTCTGCTCCATTTTCATGTCAATCATGATTCTACTTGATGTCTTAATCCGTGTTAGAGATGTGAATGTGGATTTCCATCAGTGGATTATGTTACATATTTTGTTAAATTATATGTAATTGATCCAAATAGTTGTCACATTTCTTGGTGAGGAGATAAATGGGTATACGTAGTATTCTGTATCATTGTATTTTGTGCATATTTAGCTCATTGTCATTGTGTATATCTCTGTTGATGGAATTTTTTGGGTGTGTATGGCGTGTTTTGCTTCCCACCGTGTTTTAACTCATTTTGTGTATACCTCCTCACGGTAACTGTGTACGTGCTCGCTTTGTTGCACCTGCTGTATGTTAATATGTATTCACTTTGTGTTTATATGCAAAATTGGCACCCGGTTAAGGCCCGGTGAAGGTTTTATCACAGTCGGTTAACAGTTGATAGGAAATGTGTGTGTGTGTGTGTGTGTGTGTGTGTGTGTGTGTGTGTGTGTGTGTGTGTGTGTGTGTGTGTGTGTATTCACCTAGTTGTGCTTGCGGGGGTTGAGCTCTGGCTCTTTGGTCCCGCCTCTCAACCGTCAATCAACAGGTGTACAGGTTCCTGATTGTGTGTGTGTGTGTGTGTGTGTGTGTGTGTATATTCACCTAGTTGTGCTTGCGGGGTTGAGCTTTGCTCTTTCGGCCCGCCTCTCAACTGTCAATCAACTATTGTATATATGTGTGTTACAGTCTGTTGCTATATGTAAGACTAAGGGCTGATGGCCGAAGTTTAACGCCAGGAGTAAAAGTCGAAGGTCAAGGCCATTAGTGAAGGCCAAAGGTCACGGGGGAGAAGGTCAGGGGTGGAGGCTGAGGACCAAGTTATCATGAGAGCTGACAGCCAAAACCAGGGAGATTCGTCTGTCACTCACA